TTTTTTAGGGGGGTGGGGAGAGGGGTGTAAAAAGAATCAAAAAGCACTGGAAAATGAGAAATAGCCTTTCAAGGCCTCTGCTTGCAGCTACGTCAGCAAAGGCAAGAACGAGTAAGCGAACTTCAAGTAACGTTCGGCATACTTCTGACTCCCCCGAGATTAATCATTCAGGTTTTTTTTCTCCCCCGCTCTCTCTCTCATTACTAGTATACTGAATTTATTGGGATTAATTCCTACAAGTTTTGATGAAGCATGCCACAATATCCCCAGGTGCATGAATCACAGTGTTGAAATTAAGCAGTAACGTAACAGGGCATGAAATATGGAGCAATAACTCTTTCTCACTGCCTGGCTTGGCCTCTTGCCATAACAGCACCTACAGCCATGAAGTTGTTCACTCACCACAATATTTCAAATGTTCAGCAGCTCTTATTCTAACAATAAAATAATTTCAGTAATCAGGCCAGCAGGACTCACTCATCCATGCCGCGTCCAAAGTAAGTAGATATAATCCAATATCCCCTCAGCTGCATAGGGTCATTTATTACTAGAACCGGATATTGGAATTTCCTTAAAATAGCTGGGGCGACCTGTCCTGCAAAGGGCAGGCCCTTCACTATTTAATCACAGCTCTGTCAAACCCTTCACCGTTTTTGCAGAAATCCTGAGCCTTCAGACTAAACATCCAAAAGAAAGGCATCACTTTGCTGTTCGAATTGGACCAAAGGCCGTGCCACTGCGATTAAGTGGGGAGAAACGCCGAAAGAAAAAGCTTTTTAAAAAAAAAAAATTGAAGCGGCTAGATTCAGAAGAAGGATCAGCTCTCCACCAGAGACTAGACAAGGGGTGAAAAGACAACGCTTAACACTAAAAACGCGCAGTTGAACGAAAAGCATAGGAGTCCATCTGCGAGTTCCAGGCTCTCCCACGCTTCCATGCCTGCACCACCGCCCACGTACCTCTTGCAGCTGTGCACAGCAGACGCTGGAACTCGGCAGCGATTTATTCCTGTGAACACGGCCGTAACCCTCAGTGACACAGGGGAAAACCATTTCAGAGCATCTTAAGCACCAGTGCCGAGACGGGTGTTTAAACGGATGAGCGCGTGCTCCCGTCTATCGTGCAGGCAGGGGTTTCCGAGAAGGGTTTATTTCTCGCCAGAGGCCATCGCGTTGCAGGGATCTGAAACGCGCGCTGACTTTGGGGTTTCTCTCCGTGCCCGGATCGCGCCTCGAACCTCCGTGACCGTCTCGCGCACCGAGGGGACCCGGCAGCTCGCGCCGCGAGCGCACGCAGAGAGGGAGGATGCACAATCAGGCGCCGGGGCAGCCGGTTGGTTTGGCACACGCTGAGGAGGGTGGGATAGCACAGGCAGACTTTAGGGACCGAGGAACTAAATCGCACGACACGGGCGAGGACAGCGCTGCCTTCCCAAGCCCCCGGAGCTGGCGTCTGCGCTACTGCGCGGCGCCCACCCCACCGAACCCCTCGCCGGCGCCGCGCCGGGCTCCCGGCTC